CCCTACGTTATACTTTGGCCACTTCATCTCTTCCCCCCTTTTTTTTTGGTTGGGTCGAATACCGAATCTGCAGACTAATGGAGCCGGATAAGCCGAGCAAGTGGCACCATGCGGTTGTCGTCCTGGCCGTCCTTTCCATCGGCATGGTCTCTCTCCTGGGCACGGTTTCTTGGAGGAGAAGTGGAGGATGGAGCGGCGACTCGATAATTCCGTCTTGTGGGGACTCGGTGCTGGAGGCACAGAGTCGAGGATGCCACTACGATGTCATGATGGGGGCGTGGCTGCCAGAAGAATGCTTCGACCGCGAGTTCTCCGAGTCCCTGTCGCCACTCGAGGACGGACGCTGGTTCTGGGACCCGAATCTCACCAAGCCCATGAGCAAAGATGAGTTGGCCAGAGGAGAGTACGTCTCTGCCTTCTCGCATCCGGAATTCCACCTGAGACATTGCACCTACATGTTCATGAAACTCGTGCGGGCCTACGAGAAGGGTTGGAAGATGGTCGACGGGGACTCGATGGAACTGAAGCATCGGGAGCATTGTGCCAGGCTATTGAGAGATCCGTACGGCTTTGACACGGGGCACCCGGGGCTTGTGGCGTATAGTCGTGTTGACGTGTCATTTATGAGGTGTGCGAGAGTTGGTCGGTGAATGGTGAGAAGGAACTTGTCGCTAACGCGTCAGTTAAGACGGAGACACTGCATTCAGCTGGGTAGCTTCATTTTCGATTTCTTGCTGAGACTACATGGTGAGGAAGAGGTCTATACAGGGTATGGGTACCCAAACCGACCGGAAAGGGTTCAGAGTTTGACGTATATTGCTGATACTTGACTTTGTACACTGTGTAACGCAGTTCATCTACTTCCTCTTCTCGTCGCTCAACCAAATGTCTCAAACCATTCATGCGCTTTGTCATCCCTTTCCTTCACCCAAGTCCATTCAGTTCCGCCATGCCCTGGACCTTCGGGGCTCACAGAATACCGCGGCCACTTTCGTCAAGGGTCCCTTGACCACTTACATTAGTAGCTGAGCTAGGACTTTCGACAAGACTCTGGTAGCGTAGAGGATCCTCCTAAGTCGCCTTCTGGATTTCAGTTTGCCAACCAAACTTTTCCCCCCATGTCCTATATGAGAGATAGAGGAGGACACTGGTTCGTCAGCGAAGGGGTTACTACTAAGCTTTTGGGTGGAGATTGTTCACTCGTACGAGTACAAGTGCTAGACACGGTTGATATCGAATCTATTCTTGTTCGAGAGTGAACGTGTATCCAACGGTTTCAAAGTCTAGATCGTGACTGCAATACCTTCTTCAGTCCTGTCACTTCCATGGTCGGTTCAAAATGCATAAATAGTATGTCGATGTATCAGAACGGGCCTACCTGGCTCTGTAGAGATATCAATAAGCTATGGTCAAGCAAACTGAGCGTGGAGATTGGCTTGCTTGATTATGCGAATGTGGTTAAATCCTATAAGGGGACAAAGATACTCGATCAGATATTGTGGTGAGGATTTAGGACTAATTATTCGGAACGCGCCTCCAAGGCTCGAGCCAAGGCCGCAACAGTGACAAAATGGGGACCCACGTTCCGAAAGGAGATGGTGCAACTTTGAATGTGGAGTAGAAAATCCCCCTCGGTCCACAGTACGAGTACGAGTATCACGAGGTAAAAAGGACTGATTGACCTTGCCAGAGGTTCTCTATGCCCTAAATCGGATCTGCGACATGTGTGATCCCACACCTACGAGATTAGGAAGGGGGAGGGCGGTGAGTTGAAAGAAGCAAACAACAACTCAGGATCTTAAACAGGTGGTGTACAAGACGATGACAAGCATGACGAGTCGGTGCATGAGTGGGCATTCGGACACTTCCCGAGAAGGAATTGCGGGAATTGGTCACTATGATTACTTTACAGAAATCAAACTGTCGCTCATCTACTGTATACTACTTCGAGATATCACTACGGCGAGCAATACCATCTCTAGCCTAGGGATCTGCAAGCTGCCCGCGAGCCTCACATATGACCTTGGAAGAGAGAAAGATACAACAGTTGAGAGAGGGTGGCTAGGAGGATGCCCTGTCCCTATAAAGGCCGATAGCCTTCGCAACCAAGAACACTCCCAAGCAAAGCAGTCATCATATATTTGAATCAGCAGAACTCGGTGTTGCAAAGTCATCATGCAATTCATCCTTGGCCAATACGTCTTGGTCGCCTTGTTGCCGCACTTTTGGGGCGTGCGAGCAGTTCCCGGCACCGCCAACATTGTCCTGTTTCAACAAGCCAATCTGTGTGGAGGAGGCACATCGGCGACTGTTAACGACCTGGACCCAGGTCTGTGCGCGGACTTTGGCTTCTTTGGCGCCTGTATGGTCGCAATACCTCAGTCCCCGACCTCACCTTTCACAGCTGCCGCCTTTCGGACCGGCAGCTGCCAGAATGAGCTGGAGCAAGCACAAGCATTCGTATGCATATGCCCTACGGGTGATGCCTCGATAAGGGGAGCGAAATGGCTACAAGCGACCAACGTCCCGGGCAAACGAGACCTCGGGTCGTCGAACTGCACCACTGTCAAGCCCGACACCTTCACGCACACCGAGAACGGAGTGCAACATGTCGTTCGCAGCGCTGACAGCCCCGACATTGTGGCAAGCATCTTGCAGGGATTGGAAGACGGATCTCTCACCGACGAGGACCTCAAGAAAACAATCCTCAGCTTCGGTGTCAAGACACAACTCTCCGACTGACCAACTATCACCGGTTGACGCGAGCGCGAGGGTCATGACAGTAAGCCTTCAGACCGAATCAGACACCTCAAAAGGACCGACCATACCGACACATGGCCTGATTTCTGTTACGTCCTGCGCCGCGCAACCAACCATCAGACAGGGTCCAGGGTGGACGAAGGAATCGAGTGTAGAGGACAGTCTTAGATCCAGCACCTCAATTTACCATGTTATTCTCTCGTGAGGCAGAAAATAAAAGAACCATCTTGACAATATCCTCATCCTGTGAAGGCCCCGTGCTAGCTTTCCTCGTCTCGATTGGCGTGACAAGGTTGGAAGATCCGACACTAACGAACATCAGGATGCGCCAAATGGCATTTCGAGAACCGTATGCCTATATGTAATGAGAGTTTGGGGGAAACGGATCCACCCTGTTCGAAAAGGCATGTGAATCCAAGAGGTCGCGGAACCGATCAAATGAGCTGCCCTCCCTCACACTCTGTTCGTCGTTTGCCCAAGTATCTCGGAGCCATGCCTGTTACAAGAGAGCGTAGCTAGTTTTCACCCCCACTACTGTAGCCTGGTAGTTCCCCGTCTTCGGCCTCTCTACTCCTCCAACTGCTGGCTTTGACAGGAGCAAACAGAAAGCAGTTCGCTCCCCGGGTTCTTCGGCTTTCTCTGCTGTGCATGTGGCAGAAGCATTGGAGACGGTTGCCCGACTGGGAGGCGAACGGGCAGGGACTGTCAAAGCCCAAATCTTCCGAGGAGGTTCGCCTGAGGAAGAAAAATTCTGCATACCGGAAGGATGCAGTATGGGAGATACTAGACATCACGTTACGTCGGCGGAAAGCAGAGCGGTAGAAGCTCAGAAGTACATATGTCGCGGACAATGCAGATATGACCTTGCATCCAATCACCCTTCGGTCGGTGGGAATCAACTCCCTCTGAGTCCAAAGGCTGCCATGGCAATCGATGTGCCTGATGTTCTGATGAGCTTTTCAGTCCCGCAATGCCTGACCGCTACCCGATCTATGGAGCAATGGTGTTGAGATCCTCCATGATGTGGCAACTTCAGGGTTTCTAGCCCGTATCTCTGCCTCGGAAATTAGTCTCGGCATTAGCTGGTAGTATCTCATCTGACAATGATCCAGTCTCCCACACCATTCGAGGGATCTGGCATGGAATCAACCACAGTCTAGTGAGACACATGAGACGTGAAGCACGAAAGCATTGGAGGCCAAGTGGCGATGCTTGCTTCTCCTAGCATGTTCTATACTGGAGGGACATGGATAGCTAACTAGTGTGCGCCCCGTGATGGTGCTGAAGGAGCTCTACTGACGAGATCATCAACATCTTATAGGTATCTCCATGGCTGGTGTGGACAAGTGGTTTCAACCACCTTCTAAGCAGGGACAACAGGACCAAGAACAACAAATTTTCGAACCATGTCCCTCCCACCTGGTTCCTTCTGGCGGATTCTGGACTTCAAAGCCCACACGGACTCACTGATCCACCTCCTTGGATAGGCAAGGATTAACCTCACACCAGCAAGAATGCGACCGAGTCTTCGTTGATCCTGAACAACCTTGAGCCCTCGAGCGGAATTCGCGCAGTATTCTACTGGCCCCCTGAAGTTACAAAGGAAGAGAATCATCCCTCCGAGGATCCCGGGCAATGCTCCGTGGGAAATTACAATACAACCCTTGCTGTGTCCGCTAGGATATAACGGCACATGGATTTGCAGGAGGAGTAGGTATGTGTATATGGCATCAGCATGCCGCACTGATGTCGACCCGCTCATACTTCGAATACACCTCGACTATAGATTTCGCGATACTCTTTGGCAGTAACACCGAGAGAGATCTACTTCAACAGCGGGTTTGGCTCCACGCTCGACAAGGACACCTTTGGAAATGCCGGCCTGGAGATCTTGGATAGCTGTAAGTTTTTGTCATTCTGAAGAATTTGGGGACTTTGACATGCCTCCTCTCAACCTGTCCGTGTGCCGAGGAGGTTCAAGGAGTGGCTTGTCGAGACTAACTGTTGTCTTTTTGTACAGGTTGGACACAGAGCTAGCAGAAAAATAATCTAGCGAGTGCCGGGACCCATATCTTGACTATTGGCGATGAAGTAGCAGGTGGTGTGTGCATGCTGAACATCAATGGGAATACGGGTTGTCCTACCTAGGTTCATGTGGCGACCGCTTCCACAGAAGTCACCGAGACTAGCCAGAGAGGGGCTGAGAGCTGGGTCAAGAGGGAAAGCGCCGGACATGAAAAGGAATCAGGAAAGAGAGGCGGTCAAGTAGCAGAAAGAACCACACTTGCCGGCATGTAAACTGTCGTCAGACCCTTGGAATGCCTCGTTGATAGGTACTTGCCAGTACCACCTATCGTTTCCTCCTAAATGAGAACCACGGTCATTACAATCTCAGAGAACAGATTTGTTGTACACCCCTCTCTGCATTTTAAGAATCCAACCCATCAAAGTCGGACGCCCGACCTGGAAGCCCATACCGAATGACAATTTGCTTTTTACTGCCCGGTCTAGGGGATGCATATTGTGGTCGTGGCTGCTGAGGGCATAGACAGAGCGAGATGTGATTGGGATTCTAGGCGTTACAATCTTGTCACTTGTACAGAGTGAAAACGTTGAAGGACATTTCTGATGCTCCGGCCCGGCGCCAAGTCGGAGCGGTGCGAGCCTTTGCGGCGGGCCGCCAAAGCCAAGGTCAAGATGAGATATCTCGCCACGCTCGCCAAGGGCACACGTTCCCCGTACTCTTGTACTTGTAAGCGGGATATCACCGAGTACTCGTATTGTATTGGCAGCTCCTGCAGAAAAGGGCAACACAGCTATTGAAACCCGTCTCTCTATGTGCTCAAGATCAAATCGTGAGGGCCAGCTCTAGCGTTTGAGACTGGAGCCATCAGGGCCGTCCATGCCCAAACGCTCACAGGAAGAAATGAAGCATGTGCAGCAGTTCAGTGATCCAGCAGAATTGCTTTCCCAGCACTTTGAAAGTCCCATCCGATGTCAATCTCCAAACCGAAGCAACGAGATACTGATTGACTCGCCACATTGACAAAGGTGTTGTTATTCCTATCCCTGGAAGGAAAGTCCCTGGCCACGGCTGCCACCAGTCCGCGACATGCAGCTTTCATTCATAGACCGTTTCATTGCTCATTACATGAGAAACAAGAACACGCCGAGGTCTCTATTGAATGCGATCGAACGCGGGGTCCCGAACACTACCACCTGCGTCACCAAGTCCAGCGACTGGTCGGTTGTATGACCATCCTGCAAATTGTTGTTGCATAGTCTGCGACAGCACAGGCCCTTCGACGTAAGAATCTTTGGGCACTTCGGACGTGAATTCCTTGTCAAAGTTGGCGGTGTCTCGTGCATCAACCTGAGACACATGTTAGCGACAGCTTCTAGAGACATCAGTTCTCACACTTACCACATTCGGCTTGAAGCTGGGTTCATATTTTCTCTGCAGGAGTTTCCTCCAGTCAATGCCGGCAAAGAAGTGGTGGGCTTTGATCTCAGCCGCTCCGCCTGCTCCCAACCGACGCTCAGGATTGCGGTCAAGCAGCTTTTGAAGGAGATCCTTCGCCGCTGCGGGAACGATCTCAGGACCAGGGAAGTGCAACGGTTCTTGTAGAATCTTGCGGTACATTTCGTTGGTGTTCTCATCGTAGAAGGGTGGGAGTCCAGTAAGCATCTCGTATAAGAGGACGCCCAAAGTCCACCAATCGACCGTCTTCGTGTACCCGTGTCCAAGGAGAAGTTCTGGGGCCAGATACTCGGGGGTTCCGCAGAACGTGTTGGTTCGGTCTTCATCCTTCATATCCAGCTTGCACAGCCCGAAGTCGCACAAGGCAATATGACCGGTATAATCCAGCAGGATATTTTCTGGCTTCAAATCTCTGTAGATGACCTTGAAACCGTGAAGACACTCCAATGCACACAACAGCTCTGCGGTGTAAAACCTGGAGCGGTTGATATCGAATCGCTGTTCCTTTTGGAGGTGATGGAATAGCTCACCTCCGTTGACAAAGGCCAGGACGAAATAGAGCTTGTCAGGGGACTGGAACGAGAATTTAAGTGGAGTGATGAAGGGGTTGTTGATCTGCGCCAGCACTGATCTTTCTGCAAGAGTATGCGCAACTTCGGACCGAGAGATGATGTGAGCCTTTCGGATGGTCTTGAGAGCGTAGATCCGCCCGGTGTCTTTCTTCATCACTTGCATGACTTTGCCGAAACTGCCTCTTCCTACAACCTTCAAGAGCTCGAAGTCGTCAATCTTGAGGCTGCCTTGTCGGTTCTCGACATAGTTCACGCCAACCTTGATGGAGCCGGTTCCAAATTGAATGTCCAGCCACTCGGTCCCGAGCTGGCCGGCTTGCTTTTCCTGGGATAAAAACGCAGCCTCCGCCTTTTCATTCTCCTTCTTGCTCTTCTTTGGATCCGCCACGAATTGGCGGGCTTCCTCGAACCTCGGGGTGACCCTAGCGCCACCAAGGAATATATCTTCACTTCTACCAACCCCAGGTCTGGCGGCCGGATTACGTAGGTATAGCTGGACGCTGAGCTCGCACACTCGTGACACGTCGAACTTGAAAGAGGTGTTGTCACCTGCCCACAACGGGTTCTCTGGGGTACCAGAGACGGCATCGACAAACACTTGCAGCTTATCGAAGTCGAGAAGAGCATAAGGCAAGTACTTGCTGCTGTATCTTCCGTGAATCGTGGGTGCAGCATTGATTCCAGCGTGAGTTGAGACTGGCCGGTTCGGAGGTGCATATGATCCCGCAACAGACCCAGACGCATATGACGAACTTGGTCTGACTGAACCCGAGGTTCCCGAGCCATAATAATTGTTAAATACTGATTGGTATTGTTGTGGCAAGGAGAATCCTTTGCCCTCATGCAAAGTGACTATCAGGATTCCAGGTTTGGTCGTCTGGACAGGGGGGGAAGTGAGCTGTTCGGAAGCAGCTAGTTGGTGTCAGTAA